GTGACATTAATTACTTACTTCCCTTTTTTTCTGACTTATGCTAGTGGGAAGCCCAGGTCTCAAAACTTGAGCCATCTCTTCATAGAGAAAGCTGCTGATTTCCCACCACCAATACCCCTCCACTGACTATATCACCTTGACCTCTCCTTCTCGAGGGCTGTCATCCCATTTAGGACCAATGAGCTGATGTGTCAGCTCAGTTAAGAATGTAATCAGTTACTCTGCTGGAGAACTAAATTTAGCTGAACCATCTGGTAGTATTACATATCTGATGTGCTCAGTCACCCAGCAGGGATGAGAGGGAGTTTTTGAACATGTCTTCAACAGTTCTTAGTGGTTGGATGTGTGACATTGTGAGGGCTGAAGCAACTCCTTGATCATAGTTGCAGATCTTGAGGGACCCTTTCTGGGGAATCTACCATGCTCAAAGAGGTGGCCAGTTGATGGGATAGGTGAAGAATTTCACCTGGCCTGGCCAACATTCTGAGCAGATGCTTGTGTGGAGGTAAGAGATAAGTCCTCTTTGACAATCATCTTGCTTAGGGGACATATCTAGATATAGCTGCTTGGGCTTCCAGAGCCAAAACAAAAAGAGGGGACCGTTTTGCTCTCTTCTTATTTGCCAATGCCTTTGAGTTTCCTAATTAAGGAAGCCTTTCATTAAAGAACTGTTGCAGAGTCACGTCTTGATTTTTTTTTAAAAAGTGTCATAATACTTCTGTATCACAGATGAGAGAATGGAGAGACAGGATCTGATCTGCATTTGGGGATGTTTTCTTGAGGGAAGATATTTAACTGGGCTTAATGCTAAAAATATCAGCTGGCACCATTAGCTCATGGAAGAGGCAGGGATTGTCTCTAACTTGGTGCTTGTGCAATGCTTTGCACAGTGGGATTCTGATTGGGCCTCTGGCTACTACCATAATACAAATAACATATAATAACAGATAAGTATGCAAATGCCCTTCCATGCTCTTAGGAAATCACTAATATGTGCGTTGATGTTTTTCAGGTGTTGTTAGCAGTAGGAAGGGATGCATGCACAAGAACAATCGGCTTAGACAAAGTCGGAGTGAAGATCAATGAAAGGTAAGGACAAACTTTGCAACTCCTAATTATTGTGTTGATATGATTTACTATTGCAACATTAGTTATATAAGACATAAAAGATTTAATTTTTGAGACCCTTATTTTTCTTTCCATTTCACTTATATGGCAGTAGAAAACCTCTTAGCAGATAGCCGCCCTTTACTAAATAAACAAAATGGACAAACTCGGCAGTAATGCAAACATAGTCTGTTTTACCTAGGTTCTTATACAGCCCTTGTCACCATGGCATCTCTCACCGCCTTCCAGCAGTGCATTAAGCAGCATGACTAGCATCTGTCACATGGTTCATTCTTTCTCTCATCCTCTCCCCAGGGGGAGAATTGTGTCTGCACTGTGGTGTTTTAGTAGGGGTTTGTTTGTTAGATTTTTTGTTTGTTTCTTTTTTAATGTACATGCTACTGTGTGTTTAAGTGAGAAAGCAAGGTTGAAGAAATGCACCTTGCCCTTCAAGTGGAAGGTAATGAGGTGTGTGATGGTCCTTAGTTCTTGGGGGAGTTCATTCCACAGTGTGAAACTGGCCCCCTCAAAAAATATCCTTTCTCTTGTACAGACAAGTTTCTCCCTCACTGTAGGGAGCATGTTGTGCCAGAGGGGTGGCATTGTTGGCCATAGTATTCATTCTGAAGCTTTAGTTGATCTTTTAAATACCCTGGGCCAGGGCTGGGCAAACTTTTTGGCCTGAGGGCCACATCTGGGTGGGGAAATTGTATGCAGGGCCATGAATGTAGGGCTATGGCAGGGGTGTGGGGTGTGGGGTGCAGGAGGGGGCTCAGGGCAGGCGGTTGGGGTGCAGGGATGTGGCAGGGGGCTCAGGGCAGAGGATTGGGGGCTCAGGGCAGGGGGATTGGGGTGCAGGAGGGGTGCGGCAGGGGGTTGGGGTGTGGCGGGGGCTCAGGGCAGGGGACTGGGGTGTGGGGTGCAGGAGGGGTTCAGGGTGCAGGCTCCGGTCCGGCGCTGCTTACCTCTAGCACCTCCGGGGTGGCAGCAGCACACAGCGGGGCTAAGGCAGGATTCCTGCTTACCCTGGCCCCGCGCCACTCCCGGAAGTGGCCAGCATGCCTGATGGTGGCTCCTGTGGGTGGGATGGGGTGGGGCAGGCGGCTCCGCCGCGCACTGCCCTCGCCTGTGGGTACTACCCCCGAAGCTCCCATTGGCTGCAGTTCCCCATTCTCGGCCAATGGGAGCTGCAGGGGGCGGTTGCTTGGGTCATGGTGCTGTTTGCTTCCGGGAGCGGCACGGGGTCAGGGCAGGCAGGGAGCCTGCCTTAGCCCCACTGAGCCATGGGGCTGTCAATCCCACGGGCTGGATTGAAACCCCGACGGGCTGGATCTGGCCCGCGGGCCGTAGTTTGCCCTCCCCTGGTCTGGGCTCAGGCTATGGAGTGCCTTGAAGAAAAGGACTGCAACCTAGAACTTGATGCAATATTCTACGGAAGCCAGTATAGAGAGCAGAAGACAGTTCTGATGTGCTCACAAGTAGCCCAGGTTGCTGAGGAGATGTGCTGAACTGGTTGGAATCTCTCTACACCTATAGTGTCTCCATTTGCTGTTTTCTTGGGAACAACAAAAGACACTTCCCTGATGCCAGGACCTTCCCCAGCCACATTCAAAGTCCCAGTGTAAGTCATGGAGGGTGGTAGAGCTCTTAAAATAAAAAGTTAGAGAATTTTTATAATGGGAAGTGTGACGTGACCTTAGTATAGGAGTGTATAATGGTCCCACTATAATTCCTGCAGTCAGTACGGTTGGTTGTTACCGTGAGATGAACATCCGTGCAGAATTCCTTATCTACCTTTTCTCCTCCCTGCAGTGTCTACTGCGCTATTTACTTATTAACAACCTGTGAATTATTAATATTTTAATAACTCATTAAATATAACATTTAGAAAAATTCTTGTTAGTTGCCCTTAGATGGGATGGTCTAGAACAGTGGTGGGCAACTTGCAGCCCACAGGCCGCACACGGCCCGTCGGGGTAATCCTCTGGCGGGCCGCCAGACAATTTGTTTACATTTGCACGGTTGCCCGCAGCTCCCAGTGACCGTAGTTTGCCGTTCCTGGCCAATGGGAGCTGTGGGAAGTGGCAGCCAGCACGTCCCTGTGGCCCGCACCACTGCTCACAGCTCCCATTGGCCGGGACTGGCGAACTGCGGCCACTGGGAGTTGCGGACGGCCGTGCAAATGTAAGCAAACTGTCTGGCAGCCCACCAGCGGATTACCCTGGTGGGCTGCAGGTTGCCCACCACTGGTCTAGAAGCTTGAACTGAATGTCTGGCACTTAAAGTGGAAGACCGAGGGTTAGGGCCGCAGTAGCAACTTCTACCATCAGGTTGGATTATCAGCAATAGAGAAGCTCTGCTTCTGCTCCAAAGCTTCTGTGGGAGAATATCTCCTGTTTTGGGTCCTGGAAATTCTCTGTACCCAACGCAGCTACTGGGGGTGGGTGCTGAGAAGAGGATCTGGGTCCCACCCTATAACTCTGTAATTCAGAAGCCTGACTGCTGCTTCAAGAGCTCAGGTCCTTATCTGGTGTGTAAATTGGTGTAGCTTCGGTTGGAGAGACGCTGGTTTGCACCAGCTTAGATTCTGTAATACGACTGTAATACGGCGTTGTTTGGCTACTTGAGGTGTCTGAGAGAAATTCAGTATGTATCCTTCTCATAGAGCTAGAGAGCTTTACTTCTACAGGTTATTAATATTTTACTCCTCCAGTCTCCAATATTGAGTTATTTCATGCCTTGTCTCTTGTAGATCAGGAAAAATTCCTGTCAGTGATGAGGAACAAACTAATGTGCCTTATATTTATGCCATTGGAGATGTGTTGGAGGGCAAACTGGAGCTCACACCAGTGGCAATCCAAGCAGGTAGATTGTTGGCTCGAAGGCTTTATGCTGGAGCAACCTTAAAGGTAAGCAAGCAGTTAGCATGAAGCACTGTCATTGTGCTATATGCAGCATATTGGACTATATATTCATAGCATCTTTTTTAAGAATTAGCTTTGTTTATTCTTCAGCTTCCCTCCTTTGCAAAGATATTACTGCAGACATGTTCTGTCTATAGTGCAGGACAAAATTAATACCTTAAGAATGCAATAAAGGTCTGATTTTTATCTAGTATAAGTGGGGGTTTTTCTTTCTCTCTGTAGAGTGTAATAAGAAAGTGAACTGAGGCCATTTTGACTAAATATTAGTGCTATCCTATAAATGTCAGCAATAGCCATAGTTTCATTCAACTAACTCTCATTCACAGGCAATTTAGTAAATCTGCTTATTGTCCCTAAATAGACAATAAAAGGGTTTCAGGATCCTAGGTGATGCTGTTAGTTCTCAGAGCTATTTGAACGAATATCTTTAACTTCCCATCTTTGTGTTTTCATTATAATGCAGAACTCTGAGTCCTTCGGCATTTTAAAATATGTATAGAAGAAAGGTCTGATACGTTAGTGGAGCAACATACTTTCACTTATAGGGTCTGGATCACCACTGCGTATTTCCATTTTACATCAGTATAACTCCGTTGAAGCCAGTGGAGTAACACAGTGCTCAGTCAGGCCTTATAATCTTTATATGAAAAGGGAAAAAATGTGTCCCCAAAGTGCTTTTCCATCTATGTAAGTACTCATATGGCCCCCAATCACTGAATCTGATTACAAGGATTTTATCTTGCAAAGACTTCCGTGTTCATATCAGATTCAATTGTTAACCAGCCTCGGTTTTAGGTTGTCTGGTATTGGTCTGAACCATAGTGCCATTTCCTCAGCCAGGCAGACTTTAATAAATCCATTACTGGAGCCAATTTTTTGATTGCAATATAGGGAATTTATTTTAATTTACACTTTCTGCCAGATTGCTCTATTTTAGTAATTGACATTCTTATGCTGCAAAAGCGAGAATCCCCCTGGTCAATGATTCCAGGAAACTAGTTGTTATTTTAGACAGTGTCCTTGCTTGTACTACTCATTTTCCAAGACTTAAGAAGGGTGATTTGATGGGACATAAAAAGTATGTATGAAGGGGGAGGGAGGAGAAAAATAGTCAACAGAATCGTTTTGGTGGTCCCCTACCACAAAGAAAATACATTAAGAAGAGCCCTTAATCAATATAATTGTGAAACAGACAGTTTTCTGTCTGAAAGTGAGAGTCAGGATTTCCACGTGAAAAGGGGCATAGGGAAGAGCCCTGGATCTGTGGCACATCAGGGACAATTTCTGCAATATGACAAAGGAAACTGCATCTTATTTTATTACAGTTCTGCCTATTTCCTTATTGTGTTTGGCAGTATAATTTAAAAGTTGCATCCTTGTAACTTTATAATCACCAGCAGAGATGCTCTGTTGAGAATACTTACCTCTGCGGGAAGGGATGTTACTTGCTGTACTTGGAAGTCTGCAAAGACAGAGCCTGATCCTGCTCCCATTGAAGTCAATGGCAAAACTCCTATTGGCTTTAGTGGTGCGGCATCAGGCATATAGTGCCCTCTGCAGTTCTAATCATACCCTGCAAGAATTCTCATCATGTTTTTTTCCCCCTTCATCATCTTAGGCCAGGTCTACACTACCCCCTAATTCGAACTAAGGTACGCAACTTCAGCTACGTGAATAACGTAGCTGAAGTTG